CCCTGGCAGCCCCCGGGTTACGCGCCCTTCCCTTCGCGGGAGCAGCCCCTGGGACTTGTCCGAGCCATAGCCCCGGGTCCCGGCCCAGCTCGGTCAGGCCTCCCGCTTCGGAACCCAGCCGATGCCCAGCTCTCAGTCGCCCGGCTTTCGAAAGAGGAGGCACGAGGCATCCTGGGAGTTGTAGTTTGCGCCCCGCTCAGCTGCCGGGACCAACGGAACAGGAGACGCTAAGATGAACTACATTTCCCAGGGTGCCCCGTCGCGGCCGTTAGCCGAAACGGGGGCCTCCGCTCACTACTCGGCCGTTGCTAGGAGCTGCCTCAACGCCACTTTGGGAAGAGGGCCCCCGACTCCAAGGAGAATACATCGAGTGGGCTGACTCCTGACCGGGAGGGCGTGAGAAATGTGTTAAGTTTGGAAGCCTGACACGTTAAGCCATAATTACGTATTTATCCCAAAGCTTAGGGAAGTGGCTGTGACCTAACTGTTCAATGAAAAAAATCAAAGATGCAACGCCAGAATGAAACCCAGTCCCATCCCCAATAAAGACACACAACACGTTTTGTGTTAATTACAGGTTTTATTAAGGGTCTTTGGATTTAACAAAGGGAAAAGGGGTGAGTGGTTTGGCTTACCCGCAGGCCAAACAGTGTTGGTGGCTCACCCCTGTCCAACCGTGACTGACATGCTATGGACCCGCGCACCTGACTGTCCTCCCGTCCCCGCTGAGTGTCCAGCCAGGGATGGGCAACAGCGCAAGCTAAATGCATTGTCAGGCAGGAACCAAACTCAAACCACAAGTAAAAGGAAAAGGGGTAGCAAAGAAATTATATACTCCAACAGATACAAGTCCTACCCTTGAATCCACAGCAATTGTGAATAAAATGGTTTTCACAAAGTAGTAGTCAGCAGTCTGAATATTATGTGGAAGATTACATATTTGTTACCTAATCTATGAAAGTCAAGAGTATTGTGGCAAAACAACTTATTTTGGTTCACAATTCTTTTTTAACCCTTCGAGTGTCTTTTACCAAAAGTGCTGGGAGTGCTTTATTTTAACATTATATGTTTTGTTCAAATTTTTTTTTCTACTGATATTTTATAATACAATCAGCGAAACATATATGTCAAAGATGAAAACAAAAGTAGTAAAGGTTTCCTTAAGTTTTTGAATATGTAACTTCATTTACTTGCGATTCATATTTTTTCTCTAAACAGCTGTAAAATCAGCAAAAATGCCTTGGCAATTTTAGCATAGTTCCTGGGACATTGGTTGGCACTCAAAGGGTTAAAAATTTGAGAGAGAACCATTGATTTGTTGTTCCGCTTATTTATGCATTCATTGGTTGGTTTTTGTATGTGTCCTGACTGGGGATTGAGCTTACAAACGTTGGCCTACTGGGACAATGCTCTAACGAACTGAGCTACCTGGCCAGGGCTGGTTCAGAATTCTTAAAATCACTTCCAATTTTCCATGATCTTCCTGAGATAGTGAATGGTTCAGTTAAATTTAAGGCAAAATCACACAAACAACGCCCCCCTTAGAATCTAGGAATGTGCAGATCTGCAACAGCTAACATCTAGTAACTCACTCCAAAGAGTCCTTATAATTGTTTACTGTCATGGGCCACAGAAAGTTACTGACAAATTTAATAAGTATGCACAGCTAAAAGCAAAACACCACCGCCACCATTTTTATTGACTTCAGAGAGGGAGAGAGAAACGCCGATGAGAGAGAATCATGGATCGGCTGCCTCCTGCAGGCCCCCACACTGGGGATCGAGCCTGCAACCCACCCGGGGCATGTGCCCTGACCAGGAATCGAACCATGACCTCCTGGTTCATAGGTCAATGCTCAACCACTGAGCCACACCGGCTGGGGGAAACCACCACCATTTTAAAATGAAAAAATCTTTAGTCATTTACCTATGACTTGCTCTAATCCTCCAAGTAAAATATTGAGTCATAAACATTCAATTAGTTGAGATGATCTCTGTGTTCCTCCATGAAAATGACCAAACCTTCATGGGCAGCAGGAAAATCAACGAAGACTCCCGGGCTCAGGCAGAATAAGCAGTTTCCTGGCTCTGCTCCTTCTCCAGCCTCTAACTCCAGCATAGCTTCCACGTGTGTAAAAGGACCAGCAGCGTTAGAAGATCTGCATCTACGCTCTCCCTTCCTAATAAGCTGGATGGGAAGAACTGAGAAAGGGGAGCAAGGGCTGAGCAGCATTCCCCAGAGAACCCCTGGGGTCGTGAACTTGAACTGTTCTATTTCTCCAGCCAAAGCCCTTCATGGAAGAAAGGCAAGAATGAAGATCTAACATGTTAACTTCGAGAATACAAAATGCCTCCAGGGAGAGAGACCCTGAAATTCCGGGCCGTGAGTTCTCAGAGCGCGTGTCAACACAGTTCACGCCGCAAGGGAAGTGTTCTGGAGCCAGTGATGCTGCAGCCACACCCAGGACGGGCCCCAAGTGTCCTGAGGTCACTACGGTTCAAACACTGAAGTGCCCTTCGGCACATACCTGACAGGGAAGACAGAGCTCCAAGCACCCGAGGAAGGATCAACTTTCATCCACTACAAAGAGCAAAAGTTCCCTACTAAGCCTCAAACTTTTTTTTAAAATATATTTTTTCTATCTGTACTCAGCATGACATATATATATATATGTATATATATATAAATATAATTGATTTTTCAGAGAGAGAAGAGAGAGGGACAGAGTTGGAAACATTGATGAGAGAGAAACATCCATCAGCTGCCTCCTGCACACTCCCTACTGGGTATGTGCTCGCAACCAAGGTACATGCCCTTGACCGGAATCAAACCTGGGACCCTTGAATCCTTAGGCCAACGCTCTATCCACTGAGCCAAACCTCAAACTTTGAGCACTGCTCAAAGTAGGTCAGTATCATCTAATAGGAAAATCTTACTAATTTTACTCAGTCTTTATCATCATTTTGGAGGAGACGAGGTTGAAGTTTACCTTTGTACTCTTTGAAAATCTAATTTACACAAAGAACCCAACACAAACTTACCGATGGCCAAGTCTGCCTTCTCAGGGGCAGCAGACTGGATCTGCCGCTTCCTGTCCAGCAGCCAACAAAACGGGTCTAAGTGGACTGGACCGCTCCTGGCTCCCGAGACAACGGTGGCAGTGACAGCGGGTGGTAGGCTGCCGGCTCAGGCAGCCTCACTCCTGTTGCTCTCAGTGTTACCCAAACCTAATAAACCCTTTACTTAAAGTTCTTCATAACCTGAACTTATGTTTGATTATGTGGTACACTCTTGCCCTCTTGAGAGTACAAATTAGTGAGGTTTTACTACATCTTTATTCTTTGATTACAGTGAGTAAAGTTCAAGACAAAACATTCCAATATTAATAAAAATGGTATCAAATATCAGATTTAGTTTTTTATTAGGTGCATGTATTTCAAACACAGATCATGATTACAGATGTTCACCTGTGGGCAAGGCGCTTAAGCACTGATTGTGAAACAATTTGGTATTCAACAGGTCAATATCCAGTAATTTAAATGTTATTTCTCAGAATCTGAACTACTGTCAAGAAATACTCAAAAGAGATGAACATGGTGCTTTTTACTTCAATCTTAACACAATTATCAATGAATCCTCCTGGTGGAGAGAGTAAGGCTTGTGTCGGCAGACAAGCATCCCTGCTGGGACAGATTTTATGTCAGGTCCCAGGTAGGAATTAACTTCCATGAACTACAGCACTTCCTCAAGACAGTTCTAGGACAACCAGCTTCCTGAGGCAGAAACAACTGGTTTCACAGACACCGTTAGAAGGTTAAAAAATTAAAATCAAGTGATGTGTTGTTTTACATTGATTTTAAGCCAAGGGTTTTTCTGTGGTACCCGGGCGTCAAAGGCAGCCTGAGTGATGCTTTTACTTCTGTCATGCCGGGTGCTGGAACCTCCAAGCATGTTAATGGTTTAGCCAAAATGACAGCATATATGAAATCTGGATTGTTCCAGGCTTTCCAGTGAACATGGCCACCAAAGTCACAGTAACCGTGACCGAGAGCTCTCCCTACACTCACTCCACCAGGAAGGAACGGTGGCTCTCTCCTTTCTTCAGCACCTCCTTCAGGAGGTTAGGGGAGGAGGGCGGGCGGGAGATCAAACACCACTGATTGAAGTCCCATCACTGCCAAAGGTCCTACGAGATAACTTTGATACCTACCTCTTCCCAAGATGTCGGGGACAAAGGGAGATGCAGTGCTACTATAGTGACAGTTTAGGGGTCCTGCAAATGGAAGATTAATTCCCAATTGCATAGGACCCTGACCTCGCAGTGGGCCTGTACTGAAGAAATCCTTGTGTTGGACAAATGCTACTGTGAACAATTAGAAAATACGTCAGCAATCAAGGGCAAGCAGGCAGAAAATGTGTCAAGCCGGACTCACACCGAATTTCCTGGTTAGTTTATTTCTCCCATCCGTTTTCCTCAGAACTGCTTTTAAGCCAGGGCCTGTGGTGGGAGGGGTAGGGCCTTCATCTCCAGTGGGGGGTGAGGACAGGAAGCAACAGATTGATGGATGTCTCTCTCTCCCTCTATGAATTATCAAAAGTTATGGCCTGGGATCAGCAGCGTTACAAAGTAAAATCAAACTGCATTTCTTAAAGCCTTTTCTGAAAGCTTAGCAGGTCTCTTTTAGTGTTAATTGCACTTAAAACATTTGTTTTTTCATTTAATCTCTGAAAGCTGGTCATTGTTTTCTTCATTTATAAAGAGGAAAGGGTCAGTTTATCATGTGCTCCAAAGCTCTCTGCACTGGACCGAGACTCCGTGCAGGTTTGTGCGGCAGGTGCAGGGGCGTGGAGGACTGAGGTCGTGACCTTCAGAGCTTGGACTGCAGTGGCTTCAGGTGCTTGTAGAAAGATTCATGGACCTGAGGGAAGGGAGGGGGAGAAATGACTGGTCAGGAGCTTGCAGTGTAAAAGCACACTTTCTGTTGTTGTTCATCCTCTCCTAAGGATATTCTTCCTACTGATTTTTAGAGAGTGAAAGGGAGGGATGGAGGGGGGAAGGGAGAGAAGAAAGAGAAGAAAGATCGGACTGGGGCTGGGAATTGAACCCGAGACCCTTCAGTGCTTGGCTGATGTTCTAACCACTGAGCCACCGACCAGGGCTAAAAGAGCATACTTTTTTTTAATTAAATATATTTTATTGATATTTTACAGAGAGGAAGGGAGAGGGATAGAGAGTTAGAAACATCGATGAGAAACATCGATCAGCTACCTCCTATACACCTCCTGGGGATGTGCCCGCAACCACAGTACATGCCCTTGACTGGAATCGAACCTGGGACCTTTCAGTCCGCAGGGGGACGTAAAAGAGCATACTTTTAACCAAGAAATCATCGGGGCCTTATTTGGATCCTGGTCCAAAGTGTTTGAAGGGGGAAAACAGAATTGAGCCAAGTGGGAAACTCTGGACAAGGAGTAGCTTATGACATAATCCTTACCTTTTAGAGATACGTATTTACTGAAATATCTATGGATAAAATTACCTGGCATCTCAGATCTGTTTCAAAATAATAGACACGGACAGTAGGGGGGTGAGGGCTTGTGCTGGGGGGAGAGGTCAACGGGGGAAAGGGAGATATATGTAATCCTTTCCATAAAGAATTAAAAATAATAACAATTCTTAGGAGGAGGGGGTGGAGGTTGGCTGAGTAGACAGTGGTCGCAGCATGAGAAAGGGCATGTGGCCTGCAGCGCAGTCTTCTCCTCTTGCGCATGTTTGAAAAACCTCAACGACTTACGAAATGGTCAAGGAAGTTACACCTGTCGCTGCAGGAATAACCCCGCTCCCTTCGGAACCTGCTGCTTGAAGAACGACTGTCCGAGGCGAGCCTCGCAGACGGAGCCGCCAGAGGTCTTTGCTGTCTAACACGGGCCCGAAGAATGACCCAGGTGAGAGGACGCTGCTCGTTACCTCGTCTTTGTTGAGCGGCGAGTTCTTGGCCCACTCGAACAGGTTCTCATACACGTTGCCATCGTAGCGGCCCAGCACGGAGCCCAGCGACACATCCTGGAAATCAAACGCATCGACCAGCGTAACGGCGTCCGGGCGGATCACGGTCAGTAGCTCCTTGATGCGCTGGTGCACCTGGGTGATCTGAGAGTCTGTCAGGATGTTCTCCTGCAAGAAACAAAACACGCCAACGGCGCATGGATGTGTCTGTCCAGGGGTGGGCAATGGGGGCCACCGGCCGTGTGATGTTCTTTTGCGTTAGGACGCTGTTGTAATCATCGTCCCCTGCGTGTCTTTTTCCCCATGAACAACTGCGAACCTATAGCTGCCCACCGCTGTATGTAGACAGCGCGCCATATTACATGCATGCACAGCTACACATCAGACCACAACCATTTTTCTACCAAAAAAGACTTCAACTTAAGAAAATACTGACCTGAAGAAAATCCCCCGCCTTCTGACTGATCCCGTACAGAGAGTACAAGAGGCACAGGTTCCTCAAGACGGCCTGGGTGGGCTTATCTTGAACTTTGAGGAGCTGCTCCGAAAAGAGCTTCACCGTCACGTAGTGGCAGTGCGCCTGGATGAAGAGAGGACGGCAGGGGTGAGAACCGGCGACAGCTCCTGCCAGAGCGCGAGGAGGCGGCGGCGGGGGGCCGGGCGGGAGGCAGCGCCATCACTGACCTCACTCGCTCGCACGAGGTCCACGGAAGTCAGGTTCCACGCGACCTCCTTGCTTTTTCTGTGACTCACTTCCGTCTGAAGGTTTTTGGCAGCGATTTCTACTAATCTGTTAAGAAATGAAAGAAGACGGAAGCTCGGAGGAAGGGATCCATGGTGCCCACGCCGCCTCCCCCTTCCTTCGGGCCCCCAGCCCGCGGCCCCACGGCTGCCCCGAGGGGAGCTCACCTGGCCGCCCGGAGCCGGTAGGCTTCGGTGAGGCTGTGGGGGCTATTGATGTCCACCACGGTGGGCCACACGGCCACCTGCTGCGGCTGGATGCGCTGGCTGGGCAGGTCATTCAAGTAGGACACCATGCCACACACCAGCTTTCCCGAGTGCACCTGGTCGTAACTTTTCATCAGAAACCTAAAGCGACACACATGCGTCAGTAACCTGCTTCTGTGAAACAGAAACCAAACCAAACCTTCAAAAGGTGTGACTTATGGGACAGCGGAGTTTCACACTCGCTAGTCTGATCCCAAGTCAACAGAGTGGGTCTGGACAGAAGGCACAATGACGTCTTTCAGGAACAAACTTAACGTGAAGAGAAAACTCGGTAACCGGAACCGGCGGAAAGGACTCAAACGCTCTAGCCAGCGGGCCCGTCATCGCGGGAAAGTCTCTCACCGGGCGGTCTGCAGCATCATGACGGTGTTCTCTCCCTCGAAGGTGCAGGTCGGGGTGAAGGTGACGTAGATGTTTGGGAGGCCGCTGCAGTGAGAGTAGCCGTGCCCGCCACAGGCCATCCGACAGGCTTCGATGGCGGCGTTAGTCGTCCAGGAGGTGAAAGCCTTCAGCCCGGCGGTGAGGGCGTGAAGCTGAGGGCAAGCAGGGTCGTCAGACGTGAGCTGACAGCTGAGCTCCGAGGAGAAACACTAACCCCCCCGCCAGCGCTGGTCACTTGCAAAATCACCTGCCACGCGTGTCTCGGAAGCAGCGTGGGCATCTACTGTCCTGGCCACTCCCACTCCCACTCCCTCGGGATGCTTTACTTGGCAAAAGTCTCCACGTCATTAACAGGCCACCAACATGGTGCAGCCCTTCGGAAACTTAAAGACCAAACCCACAGCCCGACTGGCGTGGCTCAGTGGTTAAGGGTCAACCCATGAACCAGGAGGCCGTGGTGCGATTCTCAGTCAGAGCACTTGCCTGGGTTGTGGGTTCGATCCCCAGTGTGGGGCGTGCAGGAGGCAACAGATCAATGATTCTTTCTTATCATTGATGTTTCTATCTCTCCTCTCTGAAATCAATAAAAATAAAAAAATACAATGGCGGGGGGAGGAAGCATATGTACTACTATTTGTAATACTTTAAACAATAAAATTTAAAAAAATTAAAAACCAAAAGATAAACCCTACGTGTCTTCATAGCGAACTCTATTCAATCAGAAGAATTGTTTGGATCTTGAGAATATACGGACCACTCAAGAAATCGCAACGCGTCCTTTCCTCTGGACACAATCTAACATGCAAACGTGAAAGAGAGGGGCGCCCACGAGCGCACGAGCCTCCACACGCACCTCGGGCAGCTCGCTCAGGTCCCCCTGGCCAATGTCTTCATTAATGCGATGATAGGTCTCCTTCATGTAGGCGCCTACGAAATGGAAGGCATAGGCCGTGGCCAGCAGTGGGAAGAGTTTATATTGCTGGGTTTGAAAATCCAAAATCTGTGGTTCTGGTTCACTAAAACACATAGAAAAAGGAAAAAAAGTTATACACACACACAGAACTGCCTCTGCACCGGGCTCTAGTGTGAGCACCCTCATAAAGACCCTGTGCGGTAACACGGATTACCCATTTCACAGATGGGAACACGAGAGGTCCAGGCCCTAGCTGCACTCACGCAGCCGGTCAGGGGCAGACCCTCGATTTACAATGAGACTATGTTGCCACAGAAGACGCTCTTAACCCCCGTCTTAGGTGGACACATGTTTCTAGCTGTGAAGTTCAGATCTTTCTCTGTCTTTCCAGCATGACTAAGGAAACTGTATCTTACGGCAACATACAAAAGCAAAGTTAGTTAACTTCATAGGAGGAAGGCAATGGTAAAGAGATCTAACCTGCTAACTAGATGGCTGAATAAATTATATCTTGACCACAACTATGGAGAAGACCCAATGCACAGATAAATATTTGAATTCTAAGAAGGTCTGCTCTTTTTTTTTTTTTTAAATATATTTTATTGAGTTTTTTTACAGAGAGGAAGGGAGAGATATAGAGAGTTAGAAACATCGATGGGAGAGAAACATCGATTAGCTGCCTCCTGCACATCTCCCACTGGGGATGCGCCCGCAACCCAGGTACATGCCCTCGACCGGAATCGAACCCTGGACCCTACAGTCTATAGGCCGACGCTCTATCCACTGAGCCAAACCGGTTTCGGCAGAAGGTCTGCTCTTATCAATTTCTTTATTCCTTCGTTCGGAGTGAAAGGTTACCAGGGAGTCATGCCCAAGTGAAAGGCAGTAGTAGGGATAAACTACGGGCATGGACACAACAGGGAGCCAAGCTCAATGTCACTTTTGCCATGCCCAATGTGTAGCTGTTCGTAGCAATCCAAATTTTCAAACTGCCTTCGCTGTTTTGAACATTTCATGAGTAGAGCTCAAATAATATTATTACTGCTTTTCTTAGCAGGTTAAGAATAATGAGGTGGGCCGAACCGGTTTGGCTCAGTGGATAGAGCGTCGGCTTGCGAACTCAAGGGTCCCGGGTTCGATTCCGGTCAGGGGCGTGTACCTTGGTTGCGGGCACATCCCCACTGCGGGGCGTGCAGAAGGCAGCCGATCGATGTTTCTCTCTCATCGATGTTTCTGACTCTCTATTCCTCTCCCTTCTTCTCTGTAAAAAATCAATAAAATATATTTTTTAAAAAAAGAATAATGAGGTGGTATTCTCATCTTTCCATTAAGAAAAGGAAGTTTAGGTTCTAAGTAGCAGGCGCAGTACACTGCCACCTTCGCTAAGCGTATGGCCAGGGCGTCTCCTCTGCACCGCATTTGGGAAGTTGGTATCTGAATGGGCTCAAAGCCAGGTGTTCAGTAATGAGCCCACCCAGCCCACCCGCTTACCCCGGCTTGATTTCCGACTGGTGCCTCACGGCGCTGTACCGGATGGCAATGGTGCAGGCCTTGGCCAGGCTCCGAGCAGCTTCTCCCACGAGGAAGGACCTGATGAACACCATGGTCCCGTAGGTCAGCTTGTTACTCACGGGTTTCACATAGGTGCCGTCAGGCTTCACCTGGAAAAGAACACGGGGCTCAGGCTTCCTCTGTGAAACCCGAGGCAGCTTAGGCCAGCGGTTCTCAAAGTGAGGTCCCAGAACGGCACGTGGGCATTGCCTGGGAACTTGTTTGAAATATAAAGCCCTGGCCGGTGTGACTCAATTGGTCGGGCATTATCTTGGGCACCGAAAGGTTGCTGGTTTGATTCCTGGTCAGGGCACAGGCCCAGGTTGCGGGCTCAATGCCTGATAGGGGGCGTGTAGGAGGCATTCGGTCAATGTTTCTGCTCTCACACTGATATTACTCTCTCTCCCCCACTCCCTCCCTCTCTCTCTAAAAATCAATAAAATAAATATAAAAATCTCATTAAATAAAAACTCTGGGGGCGAAGCAATCTGGACTTTAGCCGGCTCTCCAGATGATTCTAATGCGCCCTCAAGTTTGAGGCCGCTGGCTTAGCAGACCAGGATATGCTCTTCAGACCTGCCAGTGGCTTCTGGCTTCACCGTCATAATAGAAGAAGCATCAGAAGTAAAACCATGCCAGTAGCTCCTGAAAACAGACCCTTTGAACCCTGAGTCATCACCAGCCACAGCGACCTGCGCCCGACACCACTGCTCCTCCTGTCTCACACACCTGGGCGTACTTCATCAGCATGTTTTCCCTGGGGATACGATAATGGTCCATCTTCAGGTAGCCATTATCCATCTCATCGTAGCCGAATTTGGGGCCAATGTCGCCAACGGTGATCCCTACCACGGGAGAAAGGAAAGTCACCAGGGCCATGCTCTGGAATTCCTGGCTGTCCCCTCCCCTTCAGTTGTGTCTTATGCTTTTTGCAGAAGAAAGTGGTCAATTTAAGTTTTCATCTCAACATCAGATGAAGAGTCTAACCTGGCAAAGGCTTGTGGGTTCCAATTTCCCGAATAGGCACAATGAAGGCATGTAATCCATAGCATTTCCCCTGGGTGTAGAGCTGGGCTAGTACTATCGCATGATTTGAAGTCTTTCCAACTGCAACATCAAAAAAAACCAGACACAAGAGAGCCGTTCTTACATGTTCAAGGGACAGAAATGAAAGAGAAAACATGTTAATTGTAACACTAGATTCTCAACAGAGTGCAGAAAACCTTTCTTATGACAGCCTAGTTTTCAGAAGAAAATCTATGTAAGATGAGAGTCATTACAATGTGTGGCAGTTTGGCACAGCCACCCTTCATTTCCATATATATATGTGCATAAGCTTTTTAATGGGAGAACTGACGTATAATAGCGTCTAAGTTTAAGATGTACAACTCCTTGACTTAATAGCAATTTATTTTACAAGATGGCTCAGCTCTACTTTCTCTTCTACTATTTAGAAGGTAAAGCTTTCCAAAGCAGTAGCCACCAGCCACCTGTGACCATTTATATTCATTACAATGAAATAAAAAATTCTGTTCCCTTGCCAACCAGCGGCCCTCGGAGGGCTCCGCAGGGTGCACGGCAGGGGCCAGCACCTTGAGCAGCGGCGAGGGTAGCCCCTCATGCGGAGGCTTGAGGGCCAGCGCTGGCAGGAGATTTCTGGTTAGTACATCCAGAATTTGGGTCTTCTTTTTGCATGCTACTCTGTTTCTTACAAAAATGTATTGAAATATATAATATGAATAACAAAATCCTTCAAGCACGAACGCCATCTGAAATATATATCCTAAGACAATGGCTTGGAATGGAAGACAATATTAAGTAAGTTTCTTGTCAAACTTACTTATAATAAAAATCTGAAAATAACTCCAGTGCTTTCCAATACAGAAATGACTAACCAAACAGGGAGTATAGTACTTGGATGATGACGATGTAACTGCGCTAATCCTCAGACAGCTCCGATGGAAACTGAGAGAGGCAGAGCGAGACCGCGCTCCTTTCTGCGCCCTGTGAGGTGTAAGCACCTGTAACGTGCTCGGGGGACTGTGAAATAGCTCAGAACAGTTAAGCCTTAAGAGTTTTTCTATTAAGAAAAAGGAGTTTTTTCTATATTTCAAAACGATATTCTCATGTAAGCTCTCCATTCTAAACATGATCTTAAAACATCCAGTAACTGTTAAATAGTTCACTTACGTCCACCCGGCCACCACTTGATGGAGGTCACAGTAGGACTATTGAGAACAAACTCCTGGGTTTCAGGGTCATATGTGGCTGTGGTTTCCAAGCCTCGCAGATGAGTCCCTAAGGAAAGAAATTGGATGCACGTCAGCTAGAAGAAGGGGAAAAGTCGGTACAGAGAGAAATCTCCTGGCCAGTCCTCTAAGCTCTCATATCTCAGAGAACAACAAGCTCTAACGACAATACAGTGTTTAGATGAGCTACCGTGGTGGGTAACCAAGATACATACCTCCCTATGCTGAACCAGGCAACATTATTTAGAGCAACCGAAAGTGAAAGTAAAGACAGCTTAGAATCATCGTATAAGCTCACGGGACATGAATTTCAGTGAACTGCCCTTTACAGCCATCTCCAAGTTGTGAGCATGCCAATTTCAACTCAGACTACTGTGTTTTCCTCACCAACTACGAAGAGTAAGAGAACGTGACAGGAAGAGACTATCTAGTTAAAGGTCTTGTAAATTGAGAATTTATTTCAGAATAATTGCTAGAATGGCAAACAGGATCTTAAAAAGACCTAGGATGGGGACTCCGCCCTGGCCGGCTCACTGGTGTGACCAGAAGAGCTCCCAGCGCCATGTTCACTAATGAGGGGCAGGGAGTCATGTCTTAAATCCCAATACAGATGTGCCAGTTCTCTTAGACACAGGAGAAGGTGCCAAGTGTCACTCTCCCTGACCACACAGGGCCCTGTAATACGGGATGGATCGCATTAACACGGAAACTCTGACATGTAGAAACTGCCACGGGAACAGCCATGGCCGGTTTACGTGCGACCATAACCTGCCCAGACTGGGAACCAAGGACAAAGACACTCAGACCCCTGTCACCGAAGCAGCAGCTTTTAAAGAAAAAAAGAGAACGTTACACAGAACCGATGACGACAAAGTGCTTCCAAATGCACATCTGAACCAAACGGCATCCCACTTTGAGCCTTGGGCATCCTGCCAAGCAGCACTCAGCCCAAAGCCGAAGGACAAAGCGGCTGTAGCTGAGATGAAGTGGCACAGAAAGCAGCACATGGCACACACAGACCAGATGTCCTGAAACCTGAGTAGAAAGAGAAGCCAGAAGCAAACCAATGACAAAGACAGAAGCCAACTGCCCGGAGCACAGCCGGTCTTGTTATATATTTTTCTGGTTCCTCCTCACCCAAGAATATTTTCCCATTGACTTTTAGAAAGAAAGGAAGGGAGGGAGGGAGGAGTACCGACAGAGAGAGAGAGAGAGAGAGAGAGAGAGTTTATGATCACAGCTGGAAAACCAAGGCAGGAGTCAGGTCCAGGTCAGGCTGCCCCACCCCACAGCCCAGGCTCTTACCCACCAGGCAAGGCTGCCCCCCCACCCCCCCTTTACCTGCAACCCAAGTGTGAGCCCTTGATCTGGAATTGAGCCAGTGACCCTTCAGTGCAAGGGCCGGGCCTCCAACCACAGAGCACATCGGCCAGGGCACAGCTAATCTGATTTTTGTGGACTCCGGCGAAGCTGGCTTTAGAACCACTGAATTTACTGGATCAGGCATAAGGAACTTCCAGGTATAAAATGCTGCATGTTTTGGTTATATAAGCCACTCACTTCCCGTCAGCAAATCAAAGAGCACACGTACTATAAATCTGTATTTCTTCTGGAATTCCTGCAAGTTCACGATGTCTCAGTAGTAAGGGTAATCGGATAGTAACGAAGAAAGATGGGTTCAGAGTCTATACGCATACATTCTACGCAACTTCAGTGAGCTTGAAAACCCACTTAGCAAGGCCTGACTTGTTATTGATCTTCTAAAGGGGAACCAATGGGGGGGAAAATCGGCCTATCTCTGTGATCATGTGACCAAAGCAATGTCTCTGCCAAGACTCGGATGTTGAAAACCTGTCTTCTACAGAAAGGTCGCATGTGACCAGCCTGTACGTGCGATCATAGCACATGGCGGGCACGCCCTATGTGCTAAGCTTGCAGCGCCCGCCCAACCCAGAACGTAGACCGAATGCACCGTACCATGGCCCATCTCTGTCTGGGCATAAGTGCCAATGACCTCCAGGTTCCAGGCGGGCATGAAGAAGCGCTCCTGCTGCTCCGCAGTCGCCTGGTGAAGCAAGGTGGGCAGGAACATGCCCAAGTGGAGATCCAGAGGCGAGGGCCCTCGGTGCACAAAGCTTCGAAGGCACACCAAGGTGGGCATTTGAGAAGAGCCATCAGGTGGGGGAGAATCAGCAATGTGAACGGACAGATCAAGGGAAGGAAAAAAAAACAAGCTTCTGTAAGTATGCGTTAGTGGGTGGGTTTACCGTGTGTGAGAGCACTGCCCGTTTCTGCATTACTTCCTAGCTGGTGGCAATTTCCATCTTTCTGAAGCAGCAAGAAGTATTTTCGTGCACGACTCCTCTCTGCAATTACTCCGCTTGGCAGGGCCGACTGCCGATTTCAAATCTTGTGCAGCACAAAACCCTGAGGGTCCAGGCTGGCCATTCGGTCCCAGGAAATGAGGCTCAGAAGAGGGTGCGGGGAACGCGGGGCGGGGTCTGAGCTGCCCCATGCTTTGCTCTGAAGAGCAGCTGAGACAGCAGGCAGTCCTCTCAGGAAGCTTTTCCGAGGTCCGATTTCAGTCACCTGGACTCTCCTCTGTCCACCCACATGTCTCAGCTCGGCTCATTGCACCCGGTTCCTCAGAAAGATCTAGCCTCATGCCATCGAAAGAGTTTAATACAAAAACTGGCAGTGCTCTTCACCCCAATCATTTCAGAAATTAAAAAAAAAAACATGCAATTTCTAGTGAAGACCATCTAATCAATCACAAGTAACAGATTCATGGCTAACAAACTCTCCGTTATGGTTTATGGGGATTCTCACTAATGGTAATAAGCATCTTCGCAGTCATTTTAACTCCACTGACTAAAGTTATCCTTTTCCACTTAAACTCTGCAGATGCCTTAGACTTTTGTGTGAATTGATCTTTAATAGGAAACAGTTCTATATGCCTTCTACATGCCCTTGTATTTATTTTATTTTATTTTTTATTTTTTGAGAGCGAGAAACATTGATTGGAGAGAGCTTCCTGAATGCCCCCTACTGGTTGCAGGTTTGCTCCCCGGTCAGGACACATGCAAGAACAGAATCAAGCAATGAATGCATAAATAAGTAGGACCCTCTCTCCCTCTCTCTCCCTTCCCCCTCCCTCCCTAAAAGGAAAATAAAGACTCTTATCGCCTAAACACATCTTCTAGTCTAGTGTCCCTGGGTTGAGAACAAGGATGAGGACACTAGCGACTAGCCGAACGAAACCAGAGCTGTCCCTGGAAACGTCCAGTAAGATGTGAGCACTGGTGGAAACTGGGTGAAAGGTCCACGGGACTGCTCTCCGCTAGTTCTGCAACTTCCTAGGAATCTACAATCATTTCAAAATGAAAAGTTAAAAAAAAAACACGCTCAAGGATGAGAGAGTACCTCTCACTCACAATCAAGAGCGCCAACTGTCCCGCTTTTAAAAGAACGGTGACCAGGGAGAAAAAGAAATGTATGCCTGGGACCTGAAAGAAAAAAACCTCTGAACGAGGGCTGACAATGGTGGCCGGGGGCTGACAACGGTGACCGGGGACCAGGAGCGCAGCGCAGCCGCAGCGCTGAGAGGCGCATTTGCATTACTAGAAACTAGAAACCAGAGCTGCGCCTGGGAGGCGGGCAGCGGAGTGTGGCATTACAGAGTAACACCACACAACCAGGGCTACCACAAAGCCACTACAGCCAGAAGCTGTTCTTGAGACTGAGGAATGTTATTCTGAAGTGGGTGGAATTCAGGCACATTACAAGGAGAAAGCGATCATAGGTAATTCTTTGACTTAAATATTTATTGTAAAAAGTTATGCATAATGAAGGTTATATTAAAAATATTTTTTAGAGAGAAGGGTATGGAGGGAGGCTGAGAGAAAAACATCGATTTGTTGCTCCACTTATTTATGCATTCAATGGTTAATGCTTGCATGTGCTGCAACCTTGGGTATGGGGATGATGCTCCAACCAACTGAGCTACCCTGCCGGGGGCTTTATATATTATTAGAAGCCTGATGCACGAAATTCATGAAAGAGTCGGCCTTCCCCCGGCTGCTGGTACCGGCTTCCCTCTGGCACCCAGGACGGGCTTCCCTCAGGCCCTCCAGGCACCTGGGACCTGGGCTTCCCTCGCAGCCCCAGCTTTTGTCTGGCCTAATTAGCACATTACACTTTTATTATTATAGATTTTACATTTAACTTGGTGAAACACTAGAGTTAATTCTTGTAAAACCATAACATTGAAGGCCTTTCCAGCCAACACTGAGGATAAAATGACTGGGTTGATAATGCAAGAGAAAGGAAGAAATAAAAATAACACTATCATTCATAAATAATTTTAGAAAAGCTTTAAGGCCTTGGCTGGGTAGCTCAGTTGGCTGGAGCATTGTCCCGAAACACCAAGGTTGTGGGTTCGATCCCCAGTCAGAGTATATACAAGAAGCAACCAATGAGTACATAAATAAGTGGAACAACAAATCGATCTCTCTCTCAAATCAATAAATAAAATTTTTTAAAAAAGAAAAGCTGTAGGCTATAAAGAAAAAAAATCATGCATTCTTATTGATTAGGATCACTCAAGTAGAAACACCAAAGAAGAGATTTACAAATCAACAAAATATTTAAAATGGGTTAAGTAACTTAGCTCAGGATATTAAAGATTTAATTAGAAAAAAATATATACCTAATAATATGAATAAAAAAGATAAGAGCAAAAAAGAAATTGCTGATTCCTGACTAAAAGGACTAAATGAACTTAGTACTTCCCAATAAATCACAAGGATTTAATGTAACATGGATTTTAAGTTCCTGCAGAATACATTTTACAACTTGATAAATTGCAATCAGAATTCATCTAGAAGAATAAGTATGCAAGTACACCAAATACATGTATCTTGAAATGTAACAATAGTAGGCTTATCCTATCAGATTTTAAAATATCTTACAAAGCAACAATGAGCCAAAGTTTATGATGCTAGGAAAAAAACAAAGGAAGAAACAAATGACTGTAATATATTTAAGATTCTAGAAGTAAACTGAAACTATTATAAAACTATTATAAGATAAACCAGAAAGAACATAACAATGGTGATGAGCTAAGAGTTAATAATCATAAACACAGTAAGGGATCATTCATTACTCTAGCAGTGGTCGGCAAACTGTGGCTCGCGAGCCACAGTTTGCCGACCACTGCTCTATAGCATACATAGGTCAGTATGTTGAATATCAAGCCAACAAGATTGGGAGAAAATAGAACGCTTACACCTACTCAGAGAAGGGTGCATTGAATACATACGGCCAAATGTTTAATGAAACAGAAGGCGATAGAAAAAATATTCCAAGGGTACAGTATACTCATATAAGATCAACATGCATATTCCATTTAATCGATACTTAAAGTAGAAAAATTCAATTTTATACTTGAGAAATGCAGACAGTAAGCCAAAACATATAATAATATCTAGGCACACTAGCATTGGAAAATTAAAACTCTTAACTCTTAAGATACATATTAATGTAGCAATACAAAGTTACAGCAACCATGTTGATGAGGCCATGGAGATACAACAAGTATACTAAAAAGTTGCTAAGTATATTGTAAACTGGTTCTATGTTTCAGGAAAAATACTGAACTATGCAATAAAAGCTAGAAAATGTTCATTTCCTTTAATGCAGTAATTTGTTTCTGAGATATTCTAAAGGCGTAACCCAAAGAACAGTGTTTGTAAAGAAGTGACGCTGTTATTTCTAACGGGGAAATGAGGCCAGCCCCAATAGGAAGAGACTCAGCCAGGGAAAAGGACAGACTGTTGGGGAGACAGAGCAGTGAAGATACAGGGGGAGAAAGATCAGTGACTTACAAATTCAAGTTCACTATTGTTCAAGTTTCAGAGGGAGAAAGATGCTTTATTAGTGATGGGAATTTGCAGAGATACTGCACCATCTTCAAGGATGATCACTACGTACTGAATACGCTTCATTTTCCTTAATAGTAATAACAACGATAACAGTCAGTAATAGAAAAGGCCACGCAAGAAGAATCCCTAGGGAGGGACCAGACCTTGAAAAGATCAAGTATCTGTAAAGACCACACATACTGCCTGCTCTGTGACCTGGAGCAGCGTCTGGTCAGGTGATTAACACCCGACCACACGCAGCTAGGTTATCCCTTCAGCGCGCAAACCCTGGGGACAGGGTGCTCCCCTCTGCCCAGCCCCCTGCCTTAGGCTCACCGACCCACAGACCAAACGTGTGTCAGAGTCTGTGCCTACGCAGACACGTGCGTATTTAGAGGGAAGACAGAGGCAAGAGAGACAACTCGTGACTGACTTTCGGCAGGGGATGGGATTCTAAGATTCTTGAGAACCTGGAATGAGCATGAGCAATACTGAGTCTCTCCACTGCTCAGTGGCTACTCAGAGGTGAAAGACAATTCTGTGCGAACACCTTAGATAACTGTTGTTGATAAAGTTCCAAAGTCTCAGGACTCCAATGAGCTAATAGAATGGCTGGCTTCCCTGGAAAAGAACAGCAGTCGGTGAAGCACATCTCACACCAATGGCAACAGGATTCCCGCGAGAAACAAGACCTGATCCTAACACATTGCTCTCTAAGCAGTGAGTTCCACTTTTCATCTCGTGGCACACGTAATAGCTAAAATTCTGCAGCAACCAAAAGGTATCTTCTAGCATTTCCTGATCGGACAAAAACAAAAAGGTATAATTTTGATTCATTCACATGGGAATGCTATTGTGTGACTGTTGTCATTTTTCAGGTGACAATCTAAGGGAAAAGAGGTCCGTGTCCCTGGCTACATGGGTATCGCGAGTTTTAAAAATCCGTGCAGCTCACCAGTGTGCCTCAGCACGGCAGCTGAAAATCTCTGCTCTAAAGTAAACTGTAGAGATCGAGACAAAGGGGTTCAAATACAAGAAAATATCTGAAAATCAGAAGCAAAAGGAAAAGAAAATTCTCACATGCACAAACTCGCCCAGAGCAACACGGGACCTTAGTCCAATTTTTGGGCTCCTTCACTGTAGACTACAGTGAAGTTCAAGTCTTCACTTTTTCCTCTCTTCCTTCAAAATTTAGGGCAAATATATATTTGGAATGTACTTTATAAAGAGAGGCAGAAGGATTGGACCACTCAATAAGAGAGAAACACACCAGACCCATTCAGACTCAGGATGGTTTACATCTTATGCCTCCTATGAGCAGGGGGACTGTTGGGTCATAACATCCTGTAGTGATACACACTGAGAGAGAACAAGGTTTCTGCACCACAACCTATTACAAAACTCACTCTCTTCCTCTCGCCCTCCCACCGCACTCCAAGACAGAAAGCCCCTGGAATGGGATTTCCCTCCCTTTCTCCTGGAGATTGGCCATCCTGAAGCTCCAATCTCAGGTACTCGACAAGGCATTCAGAACGCCCCGGAACCAGAGTCGGAGCCCTCTCGGGATTAGGATTAAAAGCATTTTCTTGAACCAGTTCACAAATCAAAATACACCAAATCGCCGAAACCAGTTTGGCTCAGTGGATAGAGCGTCGACCTGCGGACTAAAAGGTCCCAGGTTCGATTCCAGTCAAGGGCATGTACCTGGGTTGCGGGCACATCCCCGGTAGGAGATGTGCAGGAGGCAGGAAGCAAGATGGTCATTAGAAACGAGACGGGGCAGTGCGAATTCAAGACACGCAAACCTGGGGCCTTGTCCACGAAAACAAACTTATTGCACATCGAGACCAAACACAAACCTTGCAAGTAGCCAGGCTTTTAGGAACAATTTAACCGAGAATTTTTCATAATGCAGAGCCTATGGACATGTACAGATAAGATGTATAAAAGAAGCAGAGAATCATTGACTTTTTTTCAAACCACCTTATAACCCCCTAGGGGCGATGAAATCATGAGGCAGACACCTAACTGCTCTAATCCTCCGCCATTAAAATCCGCATTTGATTAAAGCAGAGGCATCTACCAGATGGAGAGGCATTAACCCTCTCAAGATTTCCCACACTTTAACCATCAGACACCAACACGACGGGGCCCTCTGCCACATATTCAGCCCCATCTTTCGAAACTGCTCAACCCGTTAAAATGGGCACACGGAGCAACAGGAAATGACAATGAAGGGCGCTTCAGACCAGAGTCCTGGACCAGTTTAGAGGAAATGATCCGAGAGGATGAGGCGCTGGATTTTATTGAACATTTGACAATTTAAAAATAAAATCCCAAATGTTTAGCAGCAGAAAGAAACCAAATGCCAGGAGTCACCGGTAAGTGAAGTCCGGCGGTGGGTCACCCACTGACCCTGTCTGTGGACTAACCGTGGCCCAGCTCCGTCTGGGCGTAGGTGCCAATTATCTGCAGTCCTTGGGCGGGAAGCAGCCATTTCTCTTTCTGAGCACTGGTGCCCTGATTCAGCAAGGTGGGAATAAACATGGAGAAATTGAGGCCCACGGGTTCCACAAAATTGATCATATGTAGTCTACAGGAGAGAAAAGAAAAGGGTCTCAGCCTCGCTCTAGAAACTGCCGCTGCCACCCTTCCTGCCACGCGTGGCCCAGGACGAAGGGGAGGAACCTGCCACCCCCGTCCTGTGAAATAAGTGCAAAATTTACCGTTTTACGCCCAAGAGCCAACAGCAGAATCTAGTGGTATCTTTTCTGCCCCTTATTATTGCAGGATCAGAATTCCTCTTTAATTCTATACTGAATCCAGGAAGCAAATCTACCATTGTTTTAGCCTAAAAACACCTTTTTGCTTTTCGTTTTGTTGGTTTGATTGGTTGGATTTTTTGGTGTGTCTTTATTTTTGCTTTATTTCAGGTTTTACTTATTTGAAAAATCAAAAGAATTCCATACATTTGTAGATCTGTTACAAAAAATCCTAAAGAAGAAGAATGTAGGAAGGAGACTTGACTTGGGGTGGTGATCACACAATACAATGTGCAGATGATGGATTATGAAACCGTAAACTGAAACCTATACTAGTATAATCTTATTAACCAATCTCACCCCATAAAATTCAATTAAAAAACAACAACCACACACACAAAAAAGTATAAGACAGGACAGTGAACACCAACTGGATATTCGACACATTAAGTAATTTCTGTTAATGTTCTCTGCCGCCAACACCGTTGTGGCTGTTAAAAAGAGTTCTCTTAGAGACGCACAACAACATACTGCAGATGAAAAGAAAAGAAGGCTGTAAACTACCTCTCCCTAGGTAACCGAAGCGAACGTCCAGGCTGGCAAGTAGCTCTATGTTCCAGGGCGGGAGATCGCTAAAGGCCTTCAGAGTTTACAGATGGGTCAGTAGGTAAGATGAGCCTGTTAAACTATCGCCAATGGTCTCTGAAAATGACTCCGGACTAAAGGAACTCTAATCACAATAAAATTCAGTCTTCAACTATTTTCTCAAAAACAGAAGCTGTGCAATAATCAAAATACAAATTACACCGAAACCGGTTTGGCTCAGTAGATGGAGCGTCTGCCTGCGGATTGAAGGGTCTCAGGTTTGATTCCGGTCAAGGACATGTACCTGGGTTGCGGGCACATCCCCAGTAGGAGGTGTGCAGGAGGCAGCTGATCGATGTTTCTCTCTCATCGATGTTTCCAACTCTCTCTCTCCCTTCCTCTCTGTAAAAAATCAATAAAATATAGAAAAAAAAATACAAATTACACCGCCAGCCTTGGCTACAGTGCGTTACAGATTTCATAGGGGCCTATTTTGTTCCATCTGTCTGTCTGTCCAAAAGCCTGAAGTACAAAATAAACAACTGATGTTCACGGCTTCTCAAGGGCCGAAGAGGGGGTGTCGCTGCCAGCGTCCTGGTCTGTACAAGCAGAGCATGAAGGGACAGGAGGGGAGGCTGCCCCTTTGCACTTCTGCAGAAGCCCTGAAATCACTCCACCGTCTCCCGGGGGGAAGATCACCCTCCAGAGGTGCTGGGACGGACTCACACACCCGAGGACACCGGGACTAGCCATCTCCCACGGCCTCTGATTTTTACTTATTTATTTTTCCCCCCGGTCTCTGATTTCTACAGCAACATCAACTGTTATTGAAACGGAGTGGAGGGAGAGAGGGGAGGGAGGAGTGTGAACAGGAGAGGGAGCTGCTTTCCCAGTAACCCGGGTTAGCAGCACTTTATTGCTGCCCTGGAGGGAAGTCACACACTTCACAAACACCCCACCTCCCTGCTGTAGTAGGAGCCAAGCCAATACACAGTTGAGTGTAGAAGTCATTCTCAAAGGCCAGAGGAGAACCAGAGCGCCCCCTAACGAGTGTCTCCCCGAATGAGGAAATGAGCCTCGGAGATTCCTGAGAAATACAAGCAGTCACGTAGGCGGTAAACATGGTGCCCAAAACAGACACTCCTACTTTCAAGAGGGAACTGAGGCTGTGGATTTATAAAATGATGACAATGGCACACACAAAATTCTAGGAAACTGAGGGGGAAAACATGTGACACGAAATAAAGACTGCCAGATATTTATGTTCTTAATAACATACTGACCTGTGTGGGTTTTTTTGGAGGCCCCTTGAAAATCAACTTAATGCCTGACCACCGTGGCTCAGTGGTTGAGGGTCGACCTATGAACCAGGAGGTCAGGGTTCGATTCCCAGTCGAGGGCACAGGCCCGGGGTGCGGGCTCCATCCCCAATGTGGGGCGTGGCGGGGGCAGCCGGGCC